TGACGCGCCTTCTGCGCATGCCTGGGGCTCGGCCCCTCCCCCGACCTGGAATGCGATCCTGCCTCCCTGCCTGCCCCGCCCCTCCTGGCCCTCCCTCCAGGAGCCCCGCCCCCTCCGCTCCTCCCTTACCTCGTGTGTGGTCTTCACAGCCCCAGAGCCCACGAGGAGTCACCAGGCGTGGGGTCCCAGACCTCCAGGGGCCCTGGAGCTCCTCCGAGGCTAGTCCAGCCCGCAATCTTTCCCACTCCGGCAACCAGTCACAACAGGCCACAGCTCTAATGAAATGCTTCCTGTGTGCCGGCATCTTCCGGCAGGAAGTGACGCAAACACGCAGGGAGGCCACGGTTCTGAAGAGGGAAACCGCGGGCTGGGGCTGGGTCCCCGGAGCGCTCGCTTATCCTCCTGGGGCTTCTGGGAGGAGCAGGACACGAATAGGCCCGGGGCAGCAGGAGAGGTCAAGGGGACGCTGGCCACCAGCCGGGACCGCGGGGACGACGGAAGGCTTGGCTTTGGCCTGGGCTGTGTTTTTGGAAAACGATGTCTGGGAAAAGCCGAGGATCAAAGAAGGGCCGGGCCCTGTCTGGGGTCCGTGGGACGAGGATCACGGTAACGGCGAGAAGGCAGAGCCAGGCCGTGCTCCTTTGTGTCTGGTTCCTCCGTCAAGGAGACCGACCCGAGGGAAACCAGGAGACGTGGAGAGCGTGTAGCTGTGCCTGGGGAATGCCCGTCGTCTGATGGATGGGCTCAGTAAAACTAAGAGCTAACGTTTAGGGGGAGCTTACTGTGTTCCAGGCACGGCTGAGTACTTTACAGGCGCTATCTCATCTGGTCGTCACAACTACCTGGGAAGCAGGTGCTGTTATAGACCCTATTTTATAGATGTGGAAATGGGTCGCACAGCAAGCAAGTATCAAGTGTCTGAGGCCAGATTTGAACTTAGGTCCTCCTGACTCCAAGGCCAGAGTCTGTCTACTGCGACATCTAGCTGCTGCCTGAATGTCTTGTCAAAAGAAAGTCACTGTCTTTTTTTTTACCCTTAAATTTTAAAATTTATTTTTAGTTTCGAACATTCACTTCTATAAGATTTTGAGTTCTGAATTTTCTCCCCCTCCCCAACATGGCTTATAATCAGATACAGGCTATACATGTACAATCATATTAAACATATTTCCACATTAGTCATGTTGTAAAAAGAAAAAGCAGGAGAAAAAAGAAACAAACAAAAAAAAAGAGTATGCTTAGATCTGCATTCAGACTCCACAGTTTTTCTCTGGATGTGGATAGCATTTTCCATTATAAGCCTTTTGGAATTCTCTTAGATCCTTGCATATGGTGCTGATTGATACCTAAACCAGGAAAAGCAAAAACAGAGAAAGAAAATTATACATCAATTTGCCTAATGAATATAGATGCAAAAATTTTAAATAAATTACTAACAAAGAGATTACAACAACTTATCTTAAGTATAATACACTATGACCAAGTAGGATCTATACCAGGAATGCAGGGCTGATTCAATATTAGGAAAACTATCAGCATAATTGATGACATCAACAACAAAACTAACAAATTATATGATTATTTCAACAGAGGCAGAAAAAACTTTTGACAAAATGCAACAGCTATTCCTATTAAAAAACACTAGAAAGCATAGGAATAAATGGAATCTTCCTTGCAGTGATAAGTAACATCTATCTAAAATGATCAGCAAACATTATATGTAATGGGAATAAGCTAGAAAGCATTTCCAGTAAGATCAGAGGTGAAACAAGGATGTCCATTATCACCAGTGTTATTCAATATTGTACTTGAAATATTAGCTTTAGCAATAAGAAAAGAAAAATAATTGTTAAGTTTTCTTAACTCAAACCTAAATTTGCCTCATTGTAATTTTTACCCATCATTCCTAATCCAAAATTCTAATCCTACTTTTATGGGGTAGCCTTCAAACCACTCAAATAATCAAAAATAGTTATTAAGCTATGTATCAGGCACTGAGTTCAACAAAAGTGACAAAGGCAAAGAATTAAAGCATTTTATTTCCAAAAACCTTACATACAAATGTGGGTATGTATACACACACATATATACATATAAATATATGTTGTTCTTATTGTTCAGTCATTTCACTTGGGTCTGACTCTTTATGATTGCATTTGGGGTTTTCTTGACAAAGATACTAGTGTTATTTGCCATTTCTCTCTCCAGCTCATTTTACAGATGAGTAAGCTGAAACAAACAGGATTAATAACTAGCCAGAATCACACAGGTACTAAATGTCTGACACAACAATTGAACTAGGGTGATAAGCATTCCAGACTCCAGGCCTGGCACACTATCCACTGCACCACCGAACTGCCCCTTATGTAATTCTAGTCTACATACATTCCAGCTCAGTAGTTCTAGACATGCTCTAGACCCTCATTCTAGGTCTTTTCTTTTTAATTTACTTTTATTTTTAGCAATTATTTTTTCTCCTCCCTCATGAAACAAAAGACAAGAAATTTATAACCATCACACACACACACAAACACAGAGTCCAGCAAAAGAAATTTCCACATTGGTCACACCCCAAAATCTAAGTTTAGAATACTTTAAATCCATCACCTCTCCAGAAAGAAATGGGCAGCATGCTTATCTTTAACCCTCTGGAATCATGGTTTGCCTAGGAAAATCATTTACAGAGCAGTTGTGCATCTCAATGAATGTAGGTAACATCCACATTGTGACTTCCCCATAAAGATGAAATCACAGGTCCTGAACAAAACAGACACACAGGCAATCTTTCTGCTTTCAAATACATTCTCTATATAATTAGCAAATGAATATTCAAAAATTGTAAGGCAGAGCATGCCATTTTGTTCTAGGACTTCAGTAGCTTTCTGATTGGGCAAGTAGGTGGTGCAATGGAAAGAGTACCAGGCCTCGAGTCAGGAAAAGTCATCTGCCTAAGCTGAAAATCTAGCCTGACGCTTACTGTGCGATTGTGTAATCTTCATTAAAATAGTGCTGTTACGGGGTACAAGGACCACCTACTTCTGCTTATTTAACTCTGTATCTATTCACATAGGTCTTCCCCGGTTTTGCCAAAACCATCCCCCTCATTTCTTAGAGCACAATAGTATTCCATCACAATCATATACAACCACTTCTTCAGCCATTCAGCAATTAATGGACATCCCCTCAATTTCTAATTCTTTGTCATCATAAAAAGACCTGCTATATTTTTGTATGTATAGGCCCATTGCCTTTTATTCCCCGTCTGTTTGGAATATAGACCTAGCAGTGATACTGCTGTCAAAGGGTATGCAGTTTTATAGCCCTCTGGGCACAATTCCAAATTGTTCTCCAGAATGGTTAGATCAGTTCTGAATTGTGCATTAGTATACCCATTTTTCCAAATTCCCTCCGGAATTTATCATTTTCCTTTTCTGTCATGTTGGCCAATCTGAAGTAGTGTGAGCTGTTACCTCAAAGTTGTTTTCATTTGCATTTCTCTAATCAATAGTGATTTACAGCTTTCATTAGTATTGATAGCTTTGATTTCTTCATTGAAATCTCCCTGCTTATATTCCTTAACCATAATGGGAATCTTACTGATTTTTTCATGTGTCACTAATTGGATGACAAGGCATTTGGCTACCTAAGTAGGTCAGAGTTAATGCTGCTGTTTACCTGCACGTCAATGAACTTCTTCCCTTTGGCATTCAGAGCACTGGGCAGAAATCACATCAACATCTGCCACAGGCTCTTGTGATGCTTTAATTAAGGAGATTTGAAATCTTTACGGTCTACAGTGATTACCCAAATGAGTAAGAGCAGAAGCAACATCAGGAACAAAGCTCAGATTATGACTTATTCCTCAAGCACTAACAATAATTATTCATCACCCATTAGGCTCAGGCTCATCTCGTGGCCAAGAGGTCATCCCCAAGCACCTTGCATGTCATATGCCCAGGGATCAAAATAGATACCAAGGTTCTCCCAATACCACCATCCACTCAGTAACCTCTGACTCAGCCAGCATAACCTCTCCCTCCCTGAAGGCCCATGGGAGGATAACACTAAATCTTTGCCTATTTAGAGGCCTCTGCAGAGGGTCTTCTCCCATGGAGCTTAAATAAAGACTCCCTGAATTACACTTAGGGATTCGGAATCACAGTCTAGTCAGCTGAGGGAATCTTCCCACATTCCTTATATTCATGACGAATCACTCTAGTGTGAATTCTCTGATGGACATCAAGTAGGTTCTTAGTCTAAAGGCCTTCCCAAATTCAAAAGGTTATTCTCTAGAATTAATTCTTTGATGCTGAGTAAGTTGTGTCTTCAGGTTGAAGGTCTTCCCACATTCACTACCTTCATAAGATCTTTCTCCACTATAAACGCTCCGATGTTGAATGAGATCTACATTCAGGTGGAAGGCCTTTCCTTGTACATTACATTCATAAGGTATGAATTAGGCCTTTCCACATTCACAACACACACAAGGTTTTTCTCCAGCATGAATTTTTGATGTTTAATAGGATCTGAATTGCAATGGAAGGCCTTCCCACACCTCACATTCATGAGGAATCTCACCAGGATGAATTCTCTGATGGACATAAAATAGTGTCCTCAATCTAAAGGCCTTTATACATGCGTTACACTCAACATTTCTCTCCTGAATGAATACTTTGGTGTTGAGTAAGTTTTATCCTCACTCTGGAGGTCTTTCCACCTTCATTACATTCAAAAGGTTTCTCTACTGTATGAATTTTTTGATGTCAAGTAAAGACTCGAGTTGTACTAGAAACCCTTTTAATGCCTTATTATGTAAAAAAAAAAAAGTCTACAGCATGGGTTCCCTGATGCACAGTAAGATGGTCCTTCCTCTTGAAGGCCTTTCCACATTCACTATGTTCATAAGGTTTCTCTCCAGTATGAAGTTTCAGATGCTCAGTATGATGTGACTTCCTCCTAAAGGCCTTTCCACATTCACTAAATTCGAAAGGTTTCTCTCCATTATGAATTCTTTGATGTTGAATAAGTTCTGAGTTGCAGGGACAAACCATCCCACATGTCTTACATTCATAAAGAATCACTCCAGTATGAATTCTCTCATGCTGTGTAAGTTGTGTCTTGCTCCTGAAGGCGCTTCCCACATTCCCTACATTCATAAGGTTTCTCTCCAGTATGAATTCTTTGATGTCGAATAAGGTCTGAGTTGTACAGGAAACCCTTCCCACACTCCTTACATTCATAAAGAAAGCGTCCAGTATGAAGTTTCTGATGGTCAGTATGCTGTGACTTCCTGCTGAAGGCCTTTCCACATTCACTATATTCATAAGGTTTCTCTCCAGTATGAATTCTCTCATGCACAGTAAGTTGTGTCTTCCTCCTGAAGGCCTTTCCACATTCACTGCATTCACAAGGTTTCTCTCCAGTATGAATTGTCTGATGTCGAGTAAGATATCTCTTGAAAGTAAAGGCCTTCCCACATACATTACACTTATGAGGTTTCTCCCCAGTATGAATTCTCTGATGCAGTAAAAGTTCTATCTTAATCCTGAAGGCCTTCCCACATTCACTACATTCATAAGGTTTCTCTTCAGCATGAATTCTCTGATGCACTTTAAGTTGTGAGTTAGTCCTGAAGGCCTTTCCACATTCACTACATTTATGAGGTTTCTCTCCAGTATGAATTCTCTCATGCTGTGTAAGTTGTGTCTTGCTCCTGAAGGCCTTCCCACATTCACTACATTCGTAAGTTTTCTCTCCTGTATGAGTTTTTTGATGTTGAGTAAGTTCTGAGTTGTAGAGAAAAGCCTTCCCACATTCCTTACATTCATAAAGAATGTCTCCAGTATGAATTCTCTGATGCACAGTAAGTATTCTCTTATCTCTGAAGGCCTTCCCACATTCACTGCACGTATAAGGTTTCTCTCCAGTATGAACTGTCTGATGCACAGCAAGATGCTCCTTGCTTTGGAAGGCCTTCCCACATTCATTACATTCAAGAGTTTTATCTCCAGTAAATTCTCTGCTCTCTGAAAGGAAGAATAAAAAGCTGGTTAACCCTGCCTTTTTTAGCCTTTTCCCAAGTTTCCTAGTTGCTCAAGGTTTTAGAGCTGTTCTCTTCCCTTCTCACTTGAGAGGGCTAGTCTCACTAGTCTTTGACTAAGGATCAATTTATCTTATGTGAAAGTATGATGACTCAAAGGTAACATATGTAAATGAATTGATTTAAGATGAAATTACCAGGAGGAATGAATGAAGCCTTACTTTACTTTAAGTGGCTAACATTTGAATGGAATAAGACTGTTCAGAAAAAACAGAAGACTTTGACAACTTGCAAATGTATTCTTACCATCTGAGGTGGAAATAAGAAGGAAAAAGAATGAACAGAAAGAAATTGAGAATTGAGTTTAAGTGAGAAGAAATAGATACATGAAGTGAACAGAATAAACAATAAATACGAGGAGGGAAAATGTTATAATTGTTGCCATAAATATTCTCTGAAGATCCAACACATCTACTTTGTAAGAAATTGAAATTTCTAAGAGTAAGATATGCAGGTATTTCTGACAAGAGAAAGTACTAAAATTTACCTGGAACATTACTCAAACTCTGATAATCAAAGAAGTAAAAATGGAAAAAATTTGAAGCTACCAATAAATAGCGACCAAATTAGCAAAGATAATTTAAAATGATAAATTTTGGCAGTTATATTGAAATAGGTAATTACTAAGCTGCTGCTGCCTTGTTCTGAAAACTAATAGCAATTTCAGCTACAGCTACAAAACTGCTGATATCCTTTCACCCAATGGTCTCACTACTAGGTTTATATATCCTCAAAATGTTACTGAAAGCAAAAAACTCTAAAATTTTCAAAATAGCTTGTTGTGAAATTGCAAAATGATGAAAACTTTATAGGTCCAAAGATGAGGTTATGGTTAAACAAGTCATATGAACGTATTATTTGCCTTTATAAATATAATTTCAAAGCATAACAAAAAACAGGATGACACATAACATGACAGACTGAAAAAAAGGAAATTAGGTTAGGATTAAATATTTTTTAAAGTAACTGCAGCAAAGCAACGTAATCATAAAAACAAAACAAGAAAATATCAGAGGAGAACTCAGAAGCAAAAAGAGTACATTACTTAATATCTTAACTAATGTGCTTACTTTAAAAGGGAGAATGAACTCACACAAGTGAGTCAGAGAATATCTATTGAAGATAAAATAATCTTCAATGAACAGAAGAGAAATAACTGCTCTGTGCAGAGGCAACAACTTTCTTTGAGTGGAGGTACAGCGCAGTAAAGAGATATATTAAAAAAAACTTCTTGAGGTAAAAAATGAAGCTCTAAAGCCTCAGCTCTTCTCAAGAGTTCTGAGAAACTTTGATAGACCACTCTAATCAACATTTTAGAAGAACTCTGACCTAAAATGACCAACAGAGCTAGATTTTGCAATGACCCATTTGCTTAGTTTTTATGAAGTCACCTGGACAGCTGTTTCTTGGAATATCTGCCTCTGAAATCCAAAACACTTCCCTTTCTTTCCAACTGGTAGATCACATCTAGTTTGGAAACTGCAAATCCTGTTTGTTGAAAATGAAAAAGTACTAGGGAGTCATCTTAACAGATAGATGAAATACTCTTTCCAACTCTTAGTAGAAAGGTAGGGGAATAAGGGTCCGGAATATACCTTATTCCATCAAGGGCAATATGTTAGCTCATTTTGCCTGAGATTTTTTTTTTCCCCAACTAAGAAAGGCTTAATGGGCTGGTTGAAGGGAGAAGTAGGGTTGTTTCTTTTTCTTTTTTTTTTTTTTAAGGTGTCAGGGGGAAGAGAAATCACATATTTTTAAAAGCATCTATAAAACTTAACAAAAGAATTCAAAGTGAGTTCAAGCCCTCAAGTAGGCATGCTACAAAGACCTCAAGGATAATACAAAGGACCACCAAAAGATATTCTATATTATGGATATTCTATATTATGGTAGAATGGACTACTGAATAGAACTTAGAGAAAAATAGTTCATTAACTCACTCTCTGCTTAGACTGTGAGAACATTGTGTATGATGAAACCTACATTGGGATTAAAAAGGAAATCTTGGATTTGAAGCAACAGAGAGGGGAAGATACATTGTCGAGAATAAGAACAAATCAAGAAATCAATTTCCAGGCATACTAAGCAAAGATCTTTTTCCTAGAAACAGGCAGCACAAGTAATCTGTCTCTTGCTACAAAAGGATTAGGAATGTTTTCCTCTTGTATGCCAAAGAATAACTGTTAAAATCTTGAAAATTGTCATAGCATATATCAAGACTCCAAAGGGGTAGCTGTTCTTACCCAAAGACACCAAGTTCCCATAGTTCTCCAGCATCATATCTCTGTACAACTTTTTCTGAGATGCGTTCAATTGTACCCACTCCTCCTGGGTGAATTCCACAGCCACGTCCTTAAATGTCACTGACTCCTGAAACACCAGAAACATTTGTTCTTACTCAGCTGTAGCTCTAACTGTTACGAAGTTCAAATGTAAACTGCTTGCTAACAAGGTAAGGGAATTGAGGATTTTAGCACAGCAAGCGGTACAGGGAATTGAGAAAATTGAGTCAACCACACTGACTCCATTTTGTGACTCAATTCTGGAGGTAGCTCAGTTCTTTTTCTGTTCAATTATAGGTCTAGTCCAACTTTTGTCTTGTGAGAAAAAGTTTTTCAATTGTGGGAATTGGGAGAAAACATTATTGCATTGTTTGAACTTACCCCTGCGTGACTGGGAAATGAGACCACCTCTACTGCTATTCAGAGACCCTGAACTAAGGACCAAGTTATTCTGACCAGAAACCCAGTCAGATACAAAAAGATTGATGTAAGGAATTTTCTCACAATTGTACATCTCAAGCAACCCATATCTTATCTGAAAACTGATCCCATACTGAATAATTATTTATTGTTTCCATGTTTCTTTGATTGTATACAGACACTTAGGGGCAGTGAGATACCTCATTTTCTGTTTCAGGGAATTGAACGTGTTGACTTCTCCCCTCCCAACATGGAAAGTCCTTAATCTTTCCTCCAATTAGAAATCAGATTACATAATACTGTATTGTTTGCTTTTAATTAATTGGTCTTTGATTGTTTTTAATGTATAAAAGTATGTCTCCCCCTATATTCAGGGTCCAGCCCTAAGCTGAGGAAGGTGCCTGGTCCCAGTTTGCTGTGCAATTACCACGCACTGCTTAATAAACTGATATGCTCAAAAGACTGAACATTTATTTCCTCAGTCATTTCATCTTTCATTTGCCACAAGGGATTGTTTCACTTATTTATTTGTTCCCAGTACAGTGCCTGGTATGTAGTAGGCACTTAAGAATTCCTCTACCAGAAAGAATTGATAAGTAGAAGTTGTATAGAATGATCTTACATGGGTGTGTGTGTGTGTGAAATTGATGCCATCTCTAGGGTTGGGAATGGAAGGGAAAAAAAGAAATTTACATGATCACTTTGTTATATATTTAAAAGGAAAAGCAAGTTGTACATAACAGATTTGCATTTTCATGTGCAATCATCTTTTTTTTTAATTATACTGTTTTGGAAATGCTTGTTTTATTCTATAAATTAAAATTTAGTTGAATAAAAATGTTTAGAAAAGAATTCCTCTCCAATTACTTTGTAAGCTCCTTAAGGGCAGGAGCCATCATTGCCATCCTTTGTATCCTCCCTACTTAGTACAGTACTGGTACTTTGTAGGTGTTTAATAAATGCTTACTGTTGTAAATGGTTCCAATGACCTCAATTTTAAATGTATGTTGTTTTTTGGCTTAAGGAGGGAATAATATACACACTCAATTGGGTTTGGAAATCTAATTCTACAGGAAAATAGGGGGTAAGGAAATAAGAGATGGGGGCATGATAGAAGGGAGGGCAGATTGAGGGAGAGGGTAATCAGAAACAAACACTTTTGAGGAGGGACAGGGTTAAAGGAGAGAATAGAATAAACAAGGGGCAGGATAGGATGGAAGGAAATACAGTTAGACTTTCACAACGTGACTATTATGAAAATGTTTTGCATGACTACACGGGTATAACCTATATGGAATTGCTTGCCTTCTTTTTTCCTAATTTTTCCGCAGTCTATCTTATTTGATTTTCAATTCCTTTTTAAGTTCATCCAAGAGCTCTTTTTTTGGCTTGTGACCATTTAACAGTGCTCTTTGGGGTAGGAATGGCTTTTTTTACCTCACTAGTTTCCTCTGAATATGAACCCAGATCTTCTTCACCAAAGTATCTATCTATGGTTGGGTTCTTTTTCCTTTGCTTACTCACTTTTTTTATCTTTGGCAATTTATTATTATGATCATGTTTTAAGCCCGAGTTGTGGGTAACGTTGTCCTATGCCAGTTTTTGAATTTCGTGGAAGGGTTCAACCTCAGGGACTCTTCTCCTCCTCTGAACAAGTTAGGACCCCCAGACATGCTGTCCCAAAAATGTTCTTGCTCCCTGAAGTACTGCACTCACTGTGCATGTGCTCGATTCTCCTCACCAACAGCCATAACCTGGGATCACTTCTGGTCAGCACCTCTAGGCCTAGCTTCTGGAAACAGGTGGGGGGAGGGGCAGGAGGAGAGGGTTCTTCAATCTTCCCACACTCAGCCACCTGCTGTTCCTTAGATGAAATTTTGAAGTACAAGTTTGTGAAGTGCAACGTCTTGAGGCCTAGTCTGCTTCCTGACAGAGCTGATCCGGGGCCTGTTATTTGTTGATTCAGTGGAATTGGCTTGGAGGTGACTATGCTTCATTTAGGCCAGACCTCAGCCCTTGGAGGTCCTTTCTTTTCTGAGGTCCTCTCAAGTTGTCTTAGGAAGACAACTGCCTTAACGCTTTATTTTTGCCACTCTCCATACATTCTTGTGCCAACTTTCTGTCTGTTTGAGAAGAAAATCTGGAGAGTCTAGACATTTCTGACCTACTCTGCCATCTTTCCAGAATGCACAATAGCATTACTGAATCTATATGCACCAAATACTGTAGCATCTAAATTTTTACCAAAAAAAGTTAAATGAATTACAAGTGGAGATAGATAGTAGTACTATAATAGTCAGGGTCTTTAATCTTTTCCTCTCTGAACTAGATCAATCCAAACAAAAAATAAATAAGATGTCAAGGAAGTGAATAGAATTTAAGATAAGCTAGATATTATCGCTATCTGGAGAGAACTGAATGGAAATAAAAAGAAATACAACTGATAAATAAAACTACATATAGAATAATTTTATATATACATGTGCACATATATCCATATATACATATTCATGTGTGTGTGTGCATATCTATTTTTGTCTAATGGTGGAAGGGGAAAAAAAGAAGAAAAATAAATTTACATTATAACTTTATTATATATTTAAAAGGAATATCAAGATGTACATAAGAGATTGGTAGTTTCATATGCAATTATCTTTTTTATTATACTATGTTATGGAAATGTTAAATTAAAAATAAAATCAATAAATATGAAAAGTAAGAGGAACTAGGAGAAGACTGGGCACAGTAGCAGCAATAATGATTTACTGTGACAGACTTAGCTATTCTGATGAATACAATGATCCATGAAAATTCCAAAGGACTCATAAAAAATGAAGAAATAATTGATGAACTTTTGAGTACAAATTGAAGCATATTCTTTTTCACTTTCATTTTTCTTACTCTTTTTGGACTATGGCCAATATGGAAATGTTTTGCATTACTTCACAAGTATAATAGATATCCCATTGTTTGCCTTCTCAATGAGTGGGGGAAGGATTGGAGGGAAGGGAAGAATTTGAAATTCAAAATTAGAAAAAAAAAAGTAAACGAATAGCCTTTTTTTGTGGGGAGAGGACACATTGGTGTATATGGCATCTTTTGCCTCTACATATGATTCTCCGATGCCCACAATTCCTAGTGTTACAGGACAGGACAAAGAAACCCATCCCACTGTCTCTGGCCTGAGGTGCTAGTTCAGGAAAACAGCAAGTGGCACTCACCTTTCCGGGCCTGGCTGTCAGGGCAGGAGCCATTCCTTCTTCCTCCAGGCTGTCCTCCTGGGGCAGAGCAGAGGCCACAGAAGGTAGAGCTGGGGAGGAAAGGAGAAGCAGGAGAATGAGGGTCACACTGGGGGTCTGCCCTGCTCAGACATTCCCACTACTCCACTGTAGGGAGATGAGGGAGGGAGCGTTGGATGCGGGCGGGACTGAAGGAAGATTAGAATCCGCCCCCAGGCTCCGCCTCCGCCTGGTCGGCCTCCAACCCCGCCCCCCTATCCCCGCATGGGCCACCCCCAGACTCCTGGGAGGCCCTCGGGGGCTTCCTTCCTCCTCCGGCGACGTTCCTCCCGTTCTCCGGATGCTCCCCAGCTAGCCCCCGGTGCTCCGACCCCGCCGCACCCCACAGCCGGCTCCGCCTGGGCCTGGCCCCGCTCACCCCGTCACACATCAGCTCAGGACAGAGAAAGGGAACGAGCCACAAATAACCACGAAAGAGGCTGAAAGAAGGCTGGCGGAAGTGACGCAAGGGACGGCCCGCCCTCTTTTTAGAAAATGCCTCTGAGACGAGCACGGCCTTCTGGGAAGCGTAGTCTGGAGACTGAGGCGCCTTCTGCGCATGCCTGGGGCTGAGCCCTCCCCGCCCTTCCTGCCAGGAGCCACGGCCCCTCCTACCGTCCTTTCCTCCACTTACCTGGGGAATGCCCGTGGTCTGGTAGATGGGCTCAATAAAACTAAGAGCTAACGTTTAGGTGGAGCTTCCTGTGTTCCAGGCACGGCTAAGTACTTTACAAGGGCTGTCTCATCTGGTCGTCACAACTACCTGGGAAGCAGGTGCTGTTGTAGCCCATATTTTATAGATGTGGAAACTAAGGTGAAGTGACTTGTCCAGGGTCACACAGTTAGTAAGTGCCTGAACTTGGATTTGAACATTCTTTTCTATGCTTAACTATAATGCAAGTGAAAATTATAGAATACAAGAGTTTGCTTACCTTTCATGTGATAGACATGTATTTTTTAAAAAATTTTTATTCCTAGGTCAGATAAACTTTTTTTAAAACTAATTGTGAGGTGTTTTTTTAATTTGTTAAAATATCTCTCAAATAAAGGAAAAATCTCTGGTTATTTGCTGTGTTAAGTGATTTTTAACAATAAGTTAACCTTCACTTTATTCATTTCTCTTAATGATTTGCGTGTTTTTTCCTACTTTTCCTAGTGTAATCTGTGAAATTGCTTATTGATTACTAATTGATTGTTAAGGGTTTTTGTTAAACAATGGAATAAATATCTATGGATCAGATTTGGATTTAATACCCATAATAGATTTTTAAAGAGCTTATGTATGCAAATCTTAAGGCTACAAACTCGTCCTGTCTTCTGACAGAGATAAGGAAGATGGATGGTAGATGAGTCAACCTGGTCAGGCGATCAGCACTGGGTTTTTCTGATGCTGAGTGGTATCTGTCATGGGACTTTCTGGTGGATGTGAACTAAATTTATTTTCTCAGTTGCTATGGATTTTGGAGACCCCCTCCTAACTAGTTAACATGATTTTACCGAATGTCACCTTGATTTGTATGAAGAGGGTCATAGCTTCCAAGAATAGGGAAGTAGTCCCAGTGCCCTAGTCAGAGCACATCTGAATTACTGTCAAGTATTGGGTGCTATGATCTAAGAAGGACATTGATAAGCTGGAGAGTGTCCAGAGGAAGGCAGCTAGGATGGTGGAGGGCTTTGACTCTATGACATGAGAAGATCATTTGAGGGAAGTGGGATAATTAGCCTGAAGAGAAGACTAAGGGGTGATAACTGTCTTCAAGACAGAAGGGATTCTACTTTTCCTATTTGACTGCAAAGGGCAAAAGCAAGAAGAGTGGGTTAATGGTGCAAAGTGGGAAATTGAGGCTTACCATCAAAAACTTCCTAACAATTAGAGCTGTTCAAGAGTGGGATGAGTTGCCTTGAAAAGTGGTGGTTTCCCCTCCTTGGAGGTCTTTAAGCAGAGGCTGAGCTATTATTTGTCAGGGGTGCTATAGTGAATGGGGATTCCTTTGCTATCTGAGTTGGACTGGATTGCCATCGAAATCCCTTCCATCTCTCACGTTTTGTAATTGTGTAAATCCCATAGCAATGCTTAATTTCTTCTCCCTGGGAGTCAAATAAACTAGCCCCAAAATGTGAAACAAGCAGCACATTTAAATGTCACAACTAAGATTTGAAAGGAGAGTAGACATAAGTAGACTGACATTCCTTCATATACTTCAAAACTCTGAACAGAAAAGCAGATCCTAAAAACAGATGAGATGCATGGTGCTCCACACCAAGTAGGTTTTCAATTAACAGAGAAAATAGCAGCTATGAAAACATTGCTACTAGTGAATTCACCAAAAGGTAGCAGGAATTTTGCTCCTACTACCTGGCACCATCTACTGAGCTCATCAGGGAGAAAAGTTCCCTTAGAAGAAATTAAATTGATTCTCCATCATTTTATAATTGATTCTATTCTGTACTTGATCCTATTCTGTATCACTGTCCCATTTTGTATGATTGTTCAAGCCACATTTTTTTTTTGTCTCTTTGCCTACAAGCAAAGTTTAGAATTTCAGTTCTCCTGTTAATCACTGTTGTGTTCTTGCCTGAAGGAAATATGTTATCCTTGAGGAATGCATGTGGATATTAGGGATCTGGTCCAACATCTCTAACCTTGCAGGTGGATTCAAATAATGAATATTTTAAGTCACGGGAGTTCAGCTACTTTCTGAGTTAGGTCAAAGAAAACTTATCATCCCTTATACCTTCAGCTCCTGGAAAATCCAATAACATCTTCTTGCTATCTTTGAAGGCCTAGAAGCTGACCTGGTACATTGCCATTAAATATATTGTCCATCCTTGCATTTCCTTGTATGATTATGGAAGGTCTTATCTCCCCCCCAGGAGCCAGGGAGTCTCCTACCTGGTGTACCATCAATAGCCTCAGGATGTAGATGGGTCTCATAAATCAATCAAGCATTCCTCCAAGACAGAGAGGGGTATTTGCTAGCCCCATCTGGGTTCTAGTCATTCTTAATATAACCCATCATGTCTTCCTCACCTCCATGATACTACCAACCCTATAACTATTTGTATTATTTGCTTCACCTACCCAGTTCATTCTTTGTTGTATTCTTATAAAAAGGAGCTGCCCCTCTTCTGCATCACTGGCCTGAGATAGTCTTTTGACTCATATTATTCACAGGTTCACACACTTGTAATAAATTGATAAAACTCAGACTTCTGTACCTCAATTGACTTTTATTAAAGTCTATCAAGACAGCCCCTATCCCACTGGAGGAGTCTATGTAAGGTACTGTTAGCAACCAAAATTGCTATCTATACACAGATCACCTGTTATGGATCCACACATCATGCTGTAAAGGAACCTCTTCATTGGGAAGCCATCTTCTCTTTTCACCTCCATCCCATAAACTACCTGAACGTTTGCCCCCAGAATCAACAGCTTTGCCCCTAGCATACACCACTATTGCCCCACTAGGACTAAGGAAAAAGAAACCCAAAGGGGACACACCAGCCAGTTTAAACAATCTAGATTTCTATTCTTATTCTGTGTGGTAACCAAGAAACTTGATTCTGTCCCCCAGAACTCTTGACCTAGACATCATGTCAGCAAATCCCTCAAAGATGAGAATAAATGGAATAATAAGTGAGGTAGCCTTTACAGGAAGTTTGGTGAAGGAAAGGAAGAGAGAAACGTTATACCCACTTCAGGAGGATGGTAAGGTCTAGTGGTGTTTTGTGTGTGTGTGTGTGTGTTTTGTAAACTACATTGGGTGATTAGTTCCTTATAAATTAATATAATTTTCCTTAGAAAATCCATCATTTTGCTCCTCATTGGACTTGTTTCTGTTCGAATCGTAAGAAATTCATTCTTGAAAGCTTCTCATTCTGAGACCCTCACACATAATTATATTTTTCCTATGAGCATGACTATCCTTTTTTTTTCAAATCCTTGAAATCTCTGCCAAAATTGAGTGCACATGTCAAAATTTTCCCAACTTACCTTTCCTTTGTGGGGAAAATACTTTATTTATTAATATGGTTTGAACCCAGCTTTTTATGGTAGAAATTACTTAACCCAAAGCTTACTAGAGTGCTAACACTGACCTCAGAGATGCTCCAGGGAAGACAGATGGCTGCAAGATTACATTCAGTTCTTGTTTTGGCTCCAGCTAGGTTTTAGGGCCACCCAACAACTTTTGAGCCGTTCAAATTTGACTGAATGTTTACACTTACGTGCTGACACACAACTCAACCAACCTTCCCTGGGAACTGTCCCTTTCTGAAAACTGCCTAACTTTTACCTGCTGGCAACCAGCTGCTTGTCATTAAGTCCTTGTCTGAACCCTATATAATGTCAACTTTTCAGAGACTTGAGAGAGGGAGCCATACCCTTTTCTGGCTTTCTCCTCTGCTGAATCAACCAAATTCTTTCAAAAACGTTTTTTTTCAGTTTTGGGGATTTGCTGTCAATTGACATCTTCTCTAACACGATCTTTAACACAATGTAACACAATCTCTAGATTGGCTTGGCCACTTGCTCCCCAGCTTTCCGTTAGTTCCATTCTTATGATGAGAATTGGGTTCAGAATAGAATTTTCATGATTGGACTCCCATTCTTCTTGAAGGAAGAAATTGTCATTCAGACTTGTCAAGCCATTTTATCTTTTCTCCTCTTGCCCTAGAGGAAGGTAGGGGGCGTTATCAAATGTCCAAATAACTGAAGTCCCTCATCACTACTATATTATGACTGTGTGATATGTTCCCTTTTCTTTCCCATCATTTTTAATGAATGAACAGAAACACAGACTCCCATAACTTGGAGCTAGATGGCTTCAGTGGCCATTTCATCCAACCCAAACTTTCAGAAAATGTGTAGAATCAATTGTTCTTATACCATCTTAGTAAATAGTTTTTCTTTTTTTTTTTTCTTTGCTAGACAATGGGGTTAAGTGACTTGCCCAGAGTCACACAGCTAGCTAGTATCAAGTATCTGAGGTCAGATTTGAACTCAGGTCCTCCTGACTCCAGGGCCATTGCTCTATCCACTGTACCACCTAACTGCTCAGGTAAATAGTTTTTTCGAAAAGCTGATTAAGTCTTGTTGGTCCCTGTTCACAGCGCAGTGGACCTTAGTTCAAATCCAGCCTCAGACCAAACACTTGATACTATCTGTGTGACCCTGGGCAAGTCACTTAACCTCAATCGCCTTAAAAAAAAACAACAACAAAAAACAAACTCCCTGTTCGTATCATTTGACTATAATAAGAATCTCATTCTTCCATTCATATGTCACTAATTAGATGACAAGGCCTGTGGCAACATTAAAAGAGTAATAGTTACTCCTGCTGTTTACCAGCACGTCACTGAAATCCTTCACTTTCACATTCAGAACACTAGGCTCTTAGAACATCATATAAGGACTCAGAATCATAGTCTAGACAGCTATGGGATCCTCCCAC